GGGAGCCCGGGCGTGAAGGGAGCCCGGCCACTGCTCTCCCTGCCGAAACTCGGGGGACGGGTCTGGGCAGGGCAGGGCGGGGGGAGATTTTGGTGGTTTTCCTCCACAAATGAGAATTTGATGCGGGCTGTGAAAGAGGCGTGTTTGTGTGTTTGTTTTTAAACGGGTAATTCGCAGGTTGTATGTGTGAAAATACAGTGAATCCAAGGTCAAGTTAAATTTTTCCAGCGAAAGTTGCTGAAAATGATTTATTGAGTGAACCAGTTAAATACCGGGACAGTTGTGCTTTGTCTAATGCCAAGGGAACTAACCCCTCCTCCCTCTCCTTGTCCCCAGGTTCAGTGGCAAGCATGAACATTTGTCAGCATTTGACAACAACTCCTTGGGACACCATGAATTTGCTGGAATCTAGACCACAGAGCACTTGCAATAGCGCTTTTAAAATTTGAATTTAATTTAAATGAAAGAAAAATAATCATCTGGATCAATTGTAGTGATGGCTAGCAAAAGAAAATCCACAACTCCCTGCATGATACCAGTAAAAACACTGGTGCTTCAGGATACTGGACTGGATGCTGTAGAAGATGGCCGTGAAGGAACGCAACCAGATGCTCCTGCGGAAGGGCCAGCAGCTGGTGATGCTGGTGCCAGTAACAGTAATAACGGAGCTTTGTCTAACGGGCACCGCGGCATTGCTGAAAGTGACACTTATATCTGCAAGTCTTGTGACTTTGGATCTCAAGACATTCATCACTTCTTCAGGCACTTGGATTCTGAGCACTTAGACTTTAGCAAAGACCCCGCGTTTGCGTGTGTTGCGTGCAGCTTTCTGGCAAATAGCCATGAAGGGCTCTCGCACCACAACGCAGAGTCGCACGCCAGCGAAACGAGCTTCGTCTGGAAGGTGGCTAAGCAGGACAATCGCACAACTGTGGAGCAGAGTCTCTGTGAGGCCGCCAGCAGCCACGACCTTCCGGGAGAGGTCCCTGAAGAAGGGGTGGACGGCCAGTCTGAAATTATCATTACCAAAACCCCCATCATGAAGATAATGAAAGGTAAACCCGAGGCCAAAAAAATCCACACGCTGAAGGAGAACGTGTCAAGTCAGTTGGGCAGTGAGTCAGAGGTGAAGGACGGAGAGCATTCATTCCCAAACGGGTCCGTGCCGGTCAGCCAGCCCACTGCAGGCTCCACAAAATCATCTCATGTGGTGAACGGCTCCATCATAGGAAATGTGCCTGTTCTGCAGGCGGGTGTTGCACAGCTTGTGTCACTGCAGCCGCAACCCCCATGCCATCAGCAGCTACCTACGTCCAAGTCCCTTCCCAAGGTGATGATTCCTCTGAGCAGCATTCCAACGTACAACGCTGCCATGGACTCCAACAGCTTCCTCAAAAACTCTTTCCACAAGTTCCCCTACCCCACAAAAGCCGAGCTCTGCTACTTGACCGTGGTGACGAAGTACCCAGAAGAGCAGCTGAAGATCTGGTTCACTGCCCAGAGGTTGAAGCAGGGCATCAGCTGGTCACCGGAGGAGATCGAAGATGCCAGGAAGAAGATGTTCAACACCGTTATTCAGTCCGTGCCGCCACCCACCATTACAGTTCTGAACACGCCGGTGGTCGCAAATCCCGGGAGCGTCCCCCATCTTATTCAGGCGACGTTACCGGGCCACGTGGTGGGGCAGCCGGAGGGGACGGGGGGGCTGCTGGTCACGCAGCCCATCATGGCAAACGGCTTGAAGGGCACAAGCTCCTCGTTCACCTTGGCGGGGGCTTCTGTCCCCCAG